TAATGCCCGTCGCGCGGAAAATGGTGGTACCGTAGTAGAAGAAGAAGTTGGCGCCGGTGAGCTGCTGGCCGGACTGGGGTGCATTGTTAGCGGCGTGGTGACCAGGGAGATGGGATGCACGAACCTGAAGAACGATACCGATCACGGTGCGGTAGAGCATGCGGGGGCCGGTGAAGATCTCATACCAGCGAGTCTCAGCGCCGGCCTTCTCCTCGTCGAGCTTCTGGCGAATTTCGTCGACCTGGAAGTTCACTGATGGGGCGTTGATGTCAACGCCGGCGAGCTTGGCGATGGTGTGGCGAGCCTCGTCCTCACGACCGATACGATACGCAAAACGGGGCGATTCTGGGAGAGCCAGGATACCGACTCCAAGAAGGAGAGCCCAGAGGAAGGAGATACCACTGGGAATGCGCCATTGGGCCGAGTTGGAGTATGCGTTGTGGGTGCCGTAGTCGACCATCTCGGCCGTCCAGATGCCCAGCGTGATGAAGAGCTGGTAGCACGAGACGAGGACGCCGCGGATGATGGCAGGGCTCGATTCGGACTGGTACATGGGAACACAAACGGACAACGAACCGATGCCGAAACCGATGACGAGGCGTCCAATGGCATAGTGAACCCAGCTTTCCTGGGCCGATATTTCGATGGTACTTCCGATGCAGGTGAAGAGGGCCGATAGTGAAATGGCCTTGCGACGACCCAGGGTATCTGCTATCCTGCCGGCCACCAGCGAGCCGATGAGAGAGCCGGCGGGGAGAAGGCCGACGATGGTACCCTGGCGAACTGCCGAGAACACATACTTGCCGGTGTCGTCCGCCTCGCCGAACCGCCTTCCAAAGTCCTCCATGTCAAAGTACCCGGAAATCTGACCGCTGGAGGGCGTCAGCACAGACCTCCCTGGCCTAATGCTATGCTGTTTCAGGGGCAAGCTAGAGCTGCAAGTCAACATACCTCACATAGCCAAACATGAAGCCGCCAATGCTAGCGACAGCTCCGAGAATGCATGCTAGCAGCGTGACCTTTTGCTCCTCGATGAGCCGGGCCGGAGATTCCTCGCGGGCGGGCTTCGGTTCGAAAGCCGGCTCCGGCGCTTTTCGCTCAAGAAACTGCATCGTGATCCGTCCGCAGCGAAGCTGAGCGCATTTATTGCTGCACTGTCGATCTCGTTTGGTCAAGACGATGGACAACTGACGAATGGAAAATAGAGAAGACGTCCACAAGCTAGAAGCAACGAGCTCAGAAAGAACACAGACCAAAGTGGGAAGACGCTCGATTTATTGGCCGCATCTCATTAGGTTTGCCCCGGTGGAACGCTTCCGCGCATCATGGGAGCTCGACCCACGCACCCCCGATTCAGGCGCCACCCATGATGGCGATGCTGCGCGTGGCAGGCACCGCCAGCTCGACTGCCCGACGGAGCGGAGTGACCAGGAGACACTGGACAACGGAAGCGACGGACTGGGCTAGGAGGCAAGGAGGGGCTGCCTCTCCCCCTGAAGGGCCGACTCGGACTCGTGGAGAACCACGGGACTCGGAGGCCGATCTCTGCGTTCCATCCAAGGCTCAGTGAAGGTTACCACTGAGAGGCTCGATCACTCGTCCGCCGTCGTAAATCGCTTAGTGCTGAGTGACGTCGATTGAAACATCTGGCAGCGGGTCTAAAACGTTCGCCCAGGCCGCCTTGGGCGGAGCTACCGCTTTTGGTTTGCGGCTCCTCTGCAGGTCGATTCGAGATGATCCCTGGAACGGCCACGCTACCAAACCGCCCCAACGCCATCAACACCACCACCTCGAATACAACCATGGGCTAGTAGTTCTGCCTTTATCTGTCGAGATTTGTTGGTCTTATCCGAAATTCGTGTCGGTCGTTCCCGTCGCACTGGCCAATCTTTCCAGTCGCTGGTCCAATGGGAGACTGGCTGTGCATCCGACTTTCAGAGTTGACATCATGCGTCCAGCAAAGATTTCGCATGGGTCCGCACCCAGAGGGGCCCAAAAGAGGGATTTAAGGCAAATCCACCGCCCCCTGCTCCAGTCCCCAAATCGTATCCTGAACCAACCCCGACACTCTGTCCAAACTCCCCAGAGTCGCAAGCTTCCACAATGAGGAGAAACGAGGGGATGTCGTGGCCAACCCCTAGGGCATTCCGCATGCATTCCGCAAACCCAGTACGGTGGCCTCCTTCACGACCCCGTTGTCGAACTGTCGCCGCGGAGTCGGTGACCATGGCCGCCGCTTGAGATAGTGTTGATATCAGAAGCTGCGGAGTATCCACTTGGAGAAGCACCGAATAGGTCCCGGGTGGAAACCGCGCCGTCGGCATTCTGCTCTTCCCGCTGTCACCGTCAGTAGTCCATGGGCTAAAACGCCAATTCAGGCACCACCAACTCCAGAAATTGACAGTTCATATCCATGGCGAGGCCCTCCTGTCAACCAGACAGCAAAAATAGTCTCCGAGACCCAAGATGCAGGGCCCAGAGAGAGCTCCTCCCATTGCCCGAGGTGAAAATGGGTCGAAGCCCTGCGGTTAGGTTCGGCGCTTTCTGCCCTGCGAGAAAAGCGCAACAGCTCCATCGCACCTGCCCTCATCGGCCCGACCCCACTCAGGGCAGACAAGCCCTTCGAGCTGGATAAAAGATCTCCGTAAGCTCCCCGCTCGGCGGATGCTCACACGCGAGTCATCTTTTCGCTCGGCGTCTGGCAGCACATCTTTTTGGTTGCCAACTCTTCACTTGAAGAGGGCGCCAAGGGTCAATCCCTCGCGCCGTTGCCAGAGCACTAGCTCTGTCCATCACGCAACGGGAATCCAACTCAGCAATGATCCGCCAGGATGAACCATCGCGAGAAACAACCTCGGGAGGTGTCGAAAGAAAAAAGAAAAAAAAGAGGGCCACCCAAAAAGGTTCGCACAAGGAAAACGCCAACAGCGTGTCCCTACCCTGCCAAACAGCCCCACACACGAATCCAACCAATCAAAACTCTCCCTTTTACCCCCAACCCCACTAAATCTTCCCGCTATCCCCACCCGTCAACCCCTCGACGCGTCCACGCCGCGACTTTTCGTGTCCCCCTAATCATCACCACCGACATTTAAGGCCGCCCCTCCTCCCAGCGCTCTTTCTTTCTTTCTTTCTCTTTGCTCTTCTTTTTGATTCTCTTTTCCCCCCTTTTCTCTTTCATTTTTCTTCTCCTTTCTCTTTCTTTCTTTCTTTACGGGGCCAGCTATCAGAACACCCTAGCTGGCTGCGCATGGATGCTGGGTGCTGTCGAGTGACAGCTCCAGGGGGTGTCCTGGACATGTTGTCCACAGAATGAGAGGTTCTATGCCTACAAGGGATATCCAGTGATATTTCGAGGGTCAGAGCTGCCCGTCGGGGAGTATCATCCAGGATGAGGATGATGCGTTGTCTGCGACAGCATGCTCCTGCGTGGGCAAGTCCGGCAGCAACATCAATCATGATGCAATGAAGGGCTCGGCCACGGTTGACAAAACTCTTGACCTTGGGGCTTAAGCTTGCTAGATACTTGCGGCCTGTAACAGCTCGTAAATTTTCTGTAGGCTGGCGGCCCAATCTACATCTGCCGCCCGACCATCCTCCCCGCTGGCGTCACAGTCGCCGTAGTCGACGCTGTGGTACCGCTTACCGCTGAACCAGTAGTACTCCCAGGACAATTCGACTCATGAATCGACAGTCCAACCATCCATCCGGAATCCCACTGGCCTTGACAACCTGATTGTGTGTAGCAGAGCGTGGTTGTGGTAGGACGCACTGCGATTCTTGAGTGGCTGCATCCGCAAGGGATTGGGGCGAGGTCTGGGGAGGTGTTAGCTTCCTTGGGTATCGCAAATCGCGGGAGGGAAACGTACAGTCAATGGCTAAGTAATAGCTAGTGGGACAGTTGAACTCGCAGCCTGTGGTGTGCCATTTGGTCGCTGTCGGGCGGTAGGTGCATTCCGGAGGGATGGATGTTGTCTGGGGTCTGGGAGAAGTGGTGAAGGATGGGGTTGGTGTTGGCTGGATTGTGGTGGCGAGGACAGAGCTTGCGCTGTGAGATGTTAGCACACGATGATTTGGTGGCGGAGAAGTGAAGTGAAGATGTCAGAACTGACCCGATAGTAACGGTGGTGATGAGGAGTTGAGGGCGCATTTTGGCGACGGCAAGTATGTCGAGCTGTCTGGTTGATCAAGACAGTGGTCAAGTTCCAACACGGACTCACTGAGGCCTCTCATCACAGTCTTGTAGAGAATCAATTTGCCATGCCAAATATCATCTTCTCCTCACTTTAACCCTCGTCCTCAGCCGGCGCCGGGGCTTGTCGTTCCAAAATTGGACCATCGACTGGCAAATGCAGCTCGTGCGGGGAGACATCATTACGAACCGGGTAATTGGTACGGATGCGGAGGATGTTACTGGGCCTGCAGATCTTCGACTCTTCTAGGTAACGTCACTGGCGAGTGCAATATATTGTTAGTTGGTTTCTTACATGGCACGGAGTAATGTTGTGGTGGTTCGTACTTGATGCGTACCTAGTTCCATTGTTGAGGATTGATCATGACTTTGACTTTGAGGCATTCGAGACGCTGAGTGCCTACACCACTTCTGCCATTCCTAATCCGCTCCAAAATCGGACTCTATCCTCGGAACACTACTCCTTTTTTTCTTTTTTTTTGGTATCTTGCTCCCAGCGCCTCAGCAGTACAAATCCAGAGTCACCATCAGCCGGGCTCCAGGAGGTCTCTTCCCCTTCGTCAGTTGGGGCTTCAGGGGTTGGCATCACAAAACCCATGGACATCGACACCACGGAAGTCTCCAACGTACCAACAGGCACTATAGAGCACGAACACCAATCTATCGAGTTGCAGCGACAATCGTATACATTTGCAATCGCAGCCCTCTTGAGGGAGGCAGAAATCAGCCTCCTCTGTCGGCGTCTCTGTCGGCGTCGCATGCACTCGCCAACATGAGTGGCACTAATTAATAGTCTGCCACCAATCAAGTCACTTTGGCGGAGTGGTTAACGCGCTGCCCTGCTATTGCTCAGCAAAGGCAGTTCCTTCGGGAGCGTAGGTTCGAATCCTGCAGGTGACGTTTTTTTTGGGGCCCATTTCCAACAGCAGCATCCTCACCTAATTCTTTACAGCTGTCCCCCGTTTGATGTGCTGCCTGTTCTGTTTTTACTTTCCCATTGGCACTCCCTGTGGGGGCTTCGTCATCCCTTTTGGTACTATCGATGTGTGTTGTGCCAAAGGCGAGGTCTTGTGAGACACGAGCAACCAGCACAGCAACATTCGGTGCTTCGGCAAACGGCGGGCCAGGACTCGCCTGGACTCTCCGTTTTTTAGTGGTGCTTTGCTAGCTCCAGTGTCTCTCCGATATCCCAAGTCATCGTTGATGCTCTTGCTCGAACTCGGCTTGCTTCACATGCCTGAGGACAACCCCTTCCCAGGTTGGTCCGTAGCCAGATGGCACAAGTTCGACAACCTTTCTTTTTTGCATAGTATCGGTGAATTTGTTGCTACTGGCCGAGGACTAGCATTACTTGTGCTCTGGGTTCGATGTCTCTGACTTTGGATGATCAGGGCGCGGCGAGCTCCATACCCAGGCCGCCTCCCATTGACGCTGCAAACCTGACCAGCACTTCGCTAAGTTGGTAAACGGGTGGTGGCTTGACATCAGCTTCTTGACGTGGGTTGCATCGTGGTTTGATGTGCCTCAGTGGTGTCTTATGTTGCTGTGTGGACCGACGCTTCGTGTTAGTCGTCGGACAACCTAGACTAGTTGATCGACCCCACGCCACGGGAGCTTGATTTGGTAATCTTCTGTGTTGCTGGGGTGACCTTTGGGTCCTTTGGGCTATGTCGGGCACTTTTTCGACATTTTTATGCGTTCCGGTGGTGAGATTCTCAGTCCGGCCTCTACTGCCAGTGGGCAGGCCGTAAGATGCATATTGAGATGGCCCACCCAATATGGAGTGGCTACCAAAAAAAAGCTCATGTACGTATCTTGGGTGCTCTCTGAGTGCAGTGATGCAATTTTTTAGTGTGGAAGAGTGATGTGGTTGATGAAATTAATTTTTGTACCTGTAATGATACACACTTATAAGTGAAACCTAGGCCAGGATAATGTAAATTTCATGGACACCACAACGAGACCTAACACAGTAAAAAATAACACCAACAGAATCCAAATAACCAGGAATACTACACTGCGCGTTTTCACGACCAGCAGATGGATGTGGCGGATGTGGTGCAGAATATCGTCGATTTTCTCACAATCCTCAGACACCCAAACAAGCCCTACCAAACATCACAGATCGATAACACGACCAACCGAACCACCCAACACGACATAGCGAATGAATCACAGGTAGCCAGACACCCAAGAAAACAGAAAGGATAAACGGACACACTCAAATCACACATCAAGCCGAGGAGCGTAGAGCGCCGCAGGGGATGCCAAGACACAGACCAACATCATCAGGGGCAAGTTCAAGATGGGGTCACACCACCACCTCACGTCCGTATCACAAGCACGCGCAGCAAGACAGTCTACAGAGTTACATGGAATCGCAATATGGCAAACAAGAGTCAAGTCGATGACGATAAGTTTTGCCCGAAGATCCGAACTCCGGACTTGGGACAGTGATGCCGACGGGAGGCAGCCGTCACCTCCGCCGCACGTCGTCGGCTGACGGCGGCCGAGCGAGGGTCAGAGCGAGTCACAGAAGCGTAGAACCGAGAAGAGTACGACGAGTCACATGGAAAACACCAAGACCAAAGATGCTTCTGGTGGCGAAAGTTGAACGGCACCGAGAACCGGGACCCCACACGGGCCAAGCCAAGAAAACCGAGGTAAACAAGACGCGTCGCGTCACAAAACGAGATCAAAGGGCAAGGCACATCACAAAGCAAAAGAACCAAGAGGTTGTGTTCAAAGCACCCTCCCAAACGGCGGAGGGCAATCAATTATGTGATATCAACCCAATGTAGAACACCCATGACCCCTACCACCCCAGTTATGGTACAAAAAACCCAGTGCAAACAAGCCATTTCCCATGAGAGTCATATCAAGGACCAATCCCAGTCCGAGCCCGTAAACCGCCAAAGAGAGAACATCACAAGCATCACCAGCGATGGCGAGATGCTTAGCCGCCGAAACCGTAGAGGGTGCGGCCTTGTCGCTTGAGCGCGTAGACAACATCGAGGGATGTGACGGTCTTGCGCTTGGCGTGCTCGGTGTATGTGACAGCATCACGGATGACACCCTCGAGGAAGGATTTGAGAACACCACGGGTCTCCTCGTAGATCACTGGAAGCGGTTAGATGATGGGACTTTGGGAGGGTTTACGGGTGGAGAGAACATACTGGCAGAAATACGCTTGACACCACCACGACGCGCCAGACGGCGGATGGCGGGCTTGGTGATACCCTGAATGTTGTCGCGCAAGATCTTTCTGTGGCGCTTGGCACCGCCCTTTCCGAGGCCCTTGCCGCCCTTGCCGCCTGCGGGGTAGAGTCAGCGTGTTGCGACGAGGATGCATCGATGCTCGAGGCTACTTACGTCCAGTCATGATGAATGTGTTGGGGTGGTGGTGAAAAGTGGGATGGGGGGTTTGTGGTTTGTGGGTTGAGGCTGAAATGGATGTTTGTGGGTTGACAGTGAGAAGTGGTGAGAAGTGGGAGAAACGTGGGGAAGAGCGGCGGCTTTAAGTATGGCGAACGCGGTTGCGGATGCAAGGCAGCCGGGGAATCAGATCAGATCAGTGATTCGCAAATTCTGGCCAACCCGACTTGGCTGATTTTACCAGGGCGCAGGAAAAGCAGCTGGCCCTTGCAGGGGGGTGGCCCGCGCGAAACAACACACAGCGCGCTGACCCACCTGCGTGGACAGTGCTTTGGCTGCATTTATTTTTTACTCTTAGCCAAGGTACGATTTTTGATTGGCCAGATCTCAAGGCAAAATAACACAAACTGCGCTAGAGCACCTTTTGGATTTTTAGGACGGTGGAATTTCACCGCTCCACCTCCCACAAGCGCGACGGATGCCCGCCTGCGCTTTTGTACGACCCCGCCATGGTATCGAAATCTCGTTGCGAGCACCGCGACCTGAGGCGCGATGCGGGAGGCTGAGGTACAGGACCGTGAACATTCGAGATCGCGTTTTACATTTCCCGGGATCTCCAAGTCACTCCTGAGACGAGGCAGCCTCACGCTGCACATTTCCCGTCTCAGCGTAGGATGGATGGATTACATCATCATTCGCCTGTCCAGCTGACCGCGACATGCGTCTTCAAGAAAGTCGCTGCCCCTCCCTCGCATCTTCAGCTGCCTCTGGCTGCCGAGTGATATCGAGATACCTGTCCTCGAAAGAGCCTGCGTTGAATGCGGCAGTGAATACCAACGCGGTATGAAGGACGAGCCACGGCATTGCGCACTGAATGTGAAACCGTACCAGCAATTCGTAGATTTCTAGCTGGTCTTGTGGCTGCCATTTTGACTTGCGGCCTGCAGAGCGGATAAAGTCACACCCTTCACTTCAGCTCGTCATCGCAGTCGAAACGTTGACACAGCCACTCGTAGCTTGCCTCTCCTCTGCCAGTTTGACTTCGGTATTCACTCGACACTGCAAATTGCACCATCTCGAATTCACCTTGACGTTGCGCACCCGCAAAGGTACGTACCCATTCGCGGTCGGCTATCGAATAAAGCTGCGGCAACGTCAGGCGGCTAACGACGCCGAGTCTCCAGTTTTTGCAGCGGTGGTCCTTGCGCAGGTAAACCGCATTTTTCGGCCAATCAAAATTGGAGTCGGCAAGGTTAGTCGTGCAATAGCCCAAAACCCCCCCCAAAACCAGGCACGTTTTTGCCAGTGCAATCGGACCCCATTCCCCCTGCAAACAGACCCCAGTTTTTGCACAGCGCATCAACAAAAAAAAGGCAGGCGCAATCAAGAAATTCCCGCCCTGCCTAATCAGCCGGCAACGTGACTCCAGCTGCAGCCTACATAAACCTCGCACCCCCCACCTTCCTACCCTTCCTCTTTCCACTCACACACCACACCCAGCCATCTTCGCACTCCCAATCCATCAACCCTCATCAAAACATCATCGCTTTTTAGCGTCCTCAATTAACAACAGTCATCAAGACTATCAGCAGAAATGGCTCGCACCAAGCAGACCGCTCGCAAGTCCACCGGTGGCAAGGCCCCGCGTAAGCAGCTCGCTTCCAAGGCTGCCCGCAAGTCCGCCCCCTCCACCGGCGGTGTTAAGAAGCCTCACCGCTACAAGCCCGGTACCGTCGCTCTCCGTGAGATTCGTCGCTACCAGAAGTCGACTGAGCTTCTCATCCGCAAGCTCCCCTTCCAGCGCCTCGTAAGTCGCCCTGCTTCAAACGCGACCGGTCGCGGCGCGCCTGTCCCATATTGGCATTTACTGACGTGACTGCCCCCATAGGTTCGTGAGATTGCACAGGACTTCAAGTCCGATCTCCGCTTTCAGTCTTCCGCCATTGGCGCCCTCCAGGAGTCTGTCGAGTCTTATCTCGTCTCCCTTTTCGAGGACACCAACCTGTGCGCCATCCACGCCAAGCGTGTCACCATCCAGTCGGTAAGTTTCGACTGCTTCACTTGCACTGCACACAGCATGCTAACAGCCACTGCAGAAGGACATCCAGCTCGCTCGTCGCCTCCGTGGTGAGCGCAACTAGAGACGAGGATTCTAGATTGGGAGATTTGGGTTGGCAGCTTGGGGTTTAGGTCATGACTTTCACATACTCTGGGACGCTTTGAATTGATGAGGGATCATTCACGGCTATGGGGGCACTCTGGCGTTTTTGCGATGGGTTTTGATGGCTTGTACATTACAGGGCAGCGGTGGTTTACCCAACAGTGGATGCTGATAATACCACAACGGCGAAATGAAACGATCATAACAAACACACGTGTCCCTCGCATTGCTTTGACTGTATCTTGGAGTTTTCTCGCTAGCCAGACGCGTCGCGCCTTATAGTCACAACAAACACGGGATCCCTCGCGTTCTGTATTGACCTTGCATGGTGACTTGTCCCAAGCCTCGATTGTCTTTCGTCGCC